TAACAAAATAAATGTAATTAACATTTGATGAATAATTAATGGAGAATTAGTTATGAGTATTGTTTACTATCTTTTGTCAATTGTTTATTATTGTGGTTCATTTTGCATGTTTTACTTCCCGAATAATTGGATTATTCAAAACATCCACAGTCGATCATACTTTTGAAAGTAAGTAGTGAATCAAGACTATCATGATTCATATTGTAGATGGTCTAAAGGGTTTTAGACATAGCAATGGTTTGCTGCAACATTCATGAGTACTTGAAATAGAGATTTAAGTATTGGATTAACCCACGCTCAGGGAATTACTTCATGGAATTTATCACGAGTAATTCTGAGACGATAATATCTTATAATCTTTAAATGGAAATATATGAGTTGGTGTTTACGAGTTGGTTGTGCATTGATAATGCGTAAACGCATCAGTAACTTGATGTTATAAAACGTATTGTTGTGTGTGATTTGATGAGTAAATAGTGCAAGCATATAAGTCAAAGTTTATCTGTTCCTTTTTGCTTTTAGGGGGAAAAAGTGATATCTTGGACCCCTTGATGATTTGGTGTTGACTTATAGTGTCGGGCATGGCCAGGACTAAATTGATGTATTCGATTAGTAGTTATCTGTCATTGAGATTGATTTTGTTCCATGTAATTTGTCCACATGATATCTTGCAGAATGGAGGATTATATGATCACTTATCTAAGGACACGTAACTGACTAGGTCAGAATTCGACAACGGCTTTGAGAGCTACAATTTGCTGATCGATTTAGAAGGATATACTGGAAACTATAGTTACTAGACTTATCCAAGTGGGAGACTGTTGGATTAGGTGTCTAAGCCCATAACTATAATTGGTATATGCTTGAATTGATAGTAGCACAGTCCTTTTGGGTTACCCTAAAGACTAGCAATTAGGAAGGATGATTTTGGAGAAAGAGGTTGATTTATTAATTTGATTAACAAATTGAAATAAGTAAATTATTAATATATTATGAGAATAATATATTAATTAGAAATTGTAATAATTAATTAATATTTAATCAGAAATTAATTTAGAATTAATTTTGGGATTAAAAGAATTAATTAAAAGTGCAGGGACTGAATTGTAATTGTTCAATAGTTGAGCAAGAGGTATTCTAGAACCCTCCATAGGCATGGATAGTTTTGACATGCCCTAGGGTTTATAGAATAGTCCTTATTGGATAATCATGAAAGTGGATAATTACCCGGTTTAAGATTATCTTGGACTTAGGCTTATCTAGGGTTTCCTGACTGCGCTATATAAAGGGGGTTAAACCCTATGGATTTCGTCCACTTCTTCCTAGATAACTCCAACCGAAAATTTTCCTCCTCTCTCCTTCTTCACAATCTCCTTCAATTGCTAGTGTTGGGTGTGAGCCATTAGAGGTGTGACATTTGTGACACTTATTCTCAAAGCTTCAACAACATCAAGGAATTGGATTGTTATTGATATATAACAATCGAAGGTATGTTTTGTAACCCTAATTATGTGATTTTGATTATATACAAGTGTTATATGGTTTATACATTGTTGTTCACATGGTATGTTTAATTAGAGAAAACGTAGATCAATTTTAGGGTTGCATGCACACATAGGATTGTTTGTATTGCTCAAAACCCATAAAAAAACATCTAGTAGATTTTAGATGAACATTTATCAAATACATTTAAGTAAAAAGAGGTTTGGTAAGGTGCTTCGGGTGATTTTTCAGTTGCGTCTGTCTGCTTGTTTATTAATGAGTACTTCTTGGGTTCGAGTGCTAATGTTACTAGACGGGCTCGTTTAGTACCTATTAAACTCAATCTTTTAGCTTGGTGTTTATCCTTGGATAGCATTCCTGCTCGTGTTAACCTTTCAAAAATAGGCTTTGATATTTCTTATATTATGTGTCCACTTTGTGATAAAGGGGTGGAATCGAGTGATCATCTTTTTTTCTCTTGTATGTTGGCCTCGACCTTGATGTCATGGGTTTTGAGGTGGTGGGATATATGTATTCTTGCTATCAACTCTTATGGAGAATGGGTCGGGTGGTTCAATGGTCTTCGTCTAAAGACAGGAGCTAAGAATTTATTGGAATGAGTTTTTTTTTGTCATGTGGTGGTATATTTGGATATTTCGTAATAGCTTGTTGTTTGCTAATGATCCCCCGAATAAGGCTCTTCTTTTTTACAGTAGTGTCACCTAGTCGTGTAGTCGTTTACTTGGTGTAATTATACACATAAATCTTATATAAACTGGGTTGCTTGGCTTCAAAACCCATTTATGGTTGTTATATATGTAATTTGTATGTTCTTTCTTTGTCTAGCTTCTTGTTAGATTTCTTCTATTAAAATTTATGCTGTTCGAATATAAACATATTTCGGCAACACAGTTACTAAGTTACTAACCAAGTGATAGGAGTCCTAGTGGGAGGCCCACACACACAGTCATGGAGGCGATTTGTAAGTAGAGTGTATAGGCGCACTTTGCACGCAACTTGGGCTGACCTAGGGTTGTCAAACATCATGAGTTGTCGGTTGGGACCATTTGGTAGCGTGAGTTACTCACGTGGGATGCATTGGCAACTTGAGTTGTCTCATAATCGATATAGATTGTTTTTGTTACAGTTCCATTTATGATGTTAATTACCATTACTAATTGGTTAATGGCACTTATTTTCCATATAAACTGAGAAGGTTGAAAACCACCAGTAGAATTTGAGAGTTGGTCTCATTCCAATATACACGTTCTTACACAAACTAATATGAAATTAAAAAAGTAGTTTCCCTCGGCCTATAAAATATTTAGAATCATTCTAGTTTAGGTGAATTTTTAGACAATATTGGTCAAGTATGAAGATACATATTGCTCTAACTATTGTACCTTGGGAATCTCAGATTTATTGGGATTGATTCTACTTAAAGGTCCAACATGAGGCTTAACCACTTTTGGTATTACTTTCATGAATTCTTCATTTCTTTTTCATTTTTCCTTTGTAATTGTATATGTATCGATTTGTGCTCCTGAAGAAGTGCAACTACAACCGATCATATTAAACAAGTTCCACAACATTACTGATCTTCAACAATATCAAATTTGTTACTTACGAAAATAGGTACATTGGTAATTCACGTGTGAATGACCAACTAAGAGTAATCTTTATATATTATGCATTTATTATACAAGATGGTCATCCACGTGTACATATAGCATAGATGCGTGTGTGTATTCGTGTCGTTTTCATGTGTCAGACAAGAATTTGACGATTCGATACGAAGAGAAATAAGCTTTATCTCTCTTTTTAGTATGTATCCGTATCGTGTCGTGTCACTCACAAATTTGTGTATTCATGTATCGAATTGTCAGGTCTAACACACACATCCATTAAAGAACCCTTGTTTGCCCGTGTGCATCCTTGCATGCACTTGCGTACTTAGCATACACAAATACATAAATGATATAGAGAATATGTGATTGTCGTTTATGAAAAACTGCATGGAAAACATATAGATAGTCATAAACTGCATGGAAAACATATAGATAGTTTGCCTCCGAGTCGTAACTTAATTAGTTCTAAGGTGACATTTGGTGTTTAGGATAACACTCATAACACAACTAAATCATGTAGAGGCTTGGTAGTTTTCTCATGGTTGAAGTTTCTTTTAGAGGGGAGAGTTCATTTCTCACCGGTCAGTTCCCCGGTCGTAGTGAGTTGCTAATTTAAAACACTCTCTCTAATAAACATCTCTAGTGTTTTGTCAATCAAATGGTAACGTGCACCAAAATGGGAACTCACAAGATATATAACCATAACTATAGTATATAATCCAAAAAGTTGAAGGCACTTTGAATTATCGACAACATGAACCTGAATTTTGAACCGAATAGTAGGGAGTTAATTTATCGTTCTGCCATAATAATGTTTTTTTGGTCCATTTGGGATCATTTAGTAGGTTAAAATGGCATTCCAATGTTCTCGGTTTAATTAGGCTTTATGTTGGTTCATTTAGAACACATTTAGTTATTAAATGAACAAATTAGATTAACCATCATATTTAGTTATCACACGAACTTATAAAGGGTGGGCAATCAAGCCACCACCTTGGAGGTCGATCAAATGCTTCTCATAGAAAATCTTCTCCCATGGCTTTTCATTATGTTTATCTTCTCCTACTGGATTTTCTCCATTGATAAATGATACATGGGTACCAGAGTAAAATGAAGACATAAGATAGCAATGCGCAGGATGAATAATATCCATTGTTGGGTCTACACGTTGCATACGTTAGTGTGATCTTTTCATGTGTTGTCTTAGCATGTTGCCATTATGGGGCATTAGTATGAAAAACAAAAACCTAATCTTGACCATTTCATCACATATCTTAGTTTGTGCATCAATAATTTAACATCAAATTTTCATTGCATGTTTTTAAAGTTTGAGAAAGCAATTAAAATTTTAAAAAATATGTTTCAATATTTGAAAATACACTTTGATTAAACTAAATTTTTTACAAAATATTTTGTTGGTTATTTTAGTGTAAGTAATTAGAGGTGACACGAGTACTAATGTCAATTGCGCTCATTTACACATCAAAAGATGCAGAACTGCAGAACTGCACACTTTGTGAGTTGATATATGCAAAATGACTTATCTTTTAAGATATTTTTACTGGTATGGAAAATATTAAAAACAAGGGAACCATAAATTTAAAATAAAAACACTTTAAATGTTGTAAAATACTTTTTATCAGCTCCATACAATGAATGATAGAATATCTAATAATATTATAACAAGCTAAGCCAATATGCAGGGTCTGTATGTATTACATAATCATTGTTAACTAGGAAATACTAATACAGAGGGTGGGGGGAGTTAGAAACTTCAAAATCTAAATGAAAAAAAAAAAAAAAAAAGTCAACATAAATCTACCTGCTAAATTTTCAACATAAAACAAGTCAACAGAAATCTAGCTGTTAAAACTATAAGTTAACACAAATCTACCTGTTAGAAGTAATTTTAGGGGATTTAAATCTACAAGTCAACAAAATTTTGTTAGAAATTAACTCAAAGGGTAGTGACTTAGATAACTATAAGAAGTCAACATTCATGAAAAGTCAACAAAAAGCCTACCTGTTTGTGAGTCTACCACAACCTGTGTCAAGAACATCAGTACTTCAAACAATCCAGGGTTTCAAAAAACTTGGGGTTCAAAGAAGAAGATGGGGGGCAAAATGGTCATTTTACAAGGATAAAAGGGTTAGGTTAAGAAACAATGATTTAGGGACAAAAATCTGTAATTTACTTGATAATGATTAATGAATGAGCAATACCTATAGGAATGGCATTTGGCTTATGAACCCATTAAAGATCTTCATATGACCTGCACATAAGGGCAAAATGGTAATCTTACGCCCAGAGTACGAATATGTTCTTCTGAGTTGTTACCTCCGCCATCGGTCTTCCTGATAACACGCACTAAATTGTGCATCTATTAAGTATATGATATGATTGTTATTATGTTATAATTAAGTAAGGATTCAATGTTTTTTGTTAACTAAATGATTAAAAAAAATGAAGTGTAAAGAACAATGAAGATAAAATCACACTTTTAATAGATTCTATAACTGTACACTGGAAAATAGAAATTAGACAAAACATCATGGGTGACAATGTGCCAACAATGTTTTATTGTATGGATAATTATATTAACCATCTTTTTTTTTTTTGGAAAATGGAAAGAGGTGTTACGTGAAATTATGAGAAACAAGGGGTGGGGTGGGCACTTATTCCTTGTTACCGAATCTCTTGGCAATTATTGGACGAACATCTTCAGCATCTGCTAGTGTCTCTAGGAAGGGCAGAAGTGTAATTAATGCACAATCTGATGGATCATTAAACCAACTCTTTATTGGAATCCCGTTATTCACTTGCATCTGGAAAACCTAAAACCACCAAATAATGGAATCAGTATTATAGATGAAAGTAAAGTTTACAATTCCATTCCATCATGGAATGGAATGGAATGGAAAAAAAGATAAATTACAAACATTACCTGTGGGCAGTTGTCAATTATGGCGACTTTGGCAAGATCAACACCTAAAACTGTTAAATCCTTGGTGTAAATTCCATCTGTGAAAATACAAGAGTCTCTATACGCCCTATGAGAGATGATTTTTCCATCTGGATCCAATATGTCAAGAAGTTGTTTTGCATAAATGCTCTGACTTGCTGTGAACACCACAATTTGGAACATTTCTGATACTCTTTCCAAGAACTCTCTAAGGTAAGGCCTCTGCTTTACATAGACAGTATGCTCTTTCAGATCAAAATATACTGAAAATGTGAAGTCTGCATCATCACAGTGTTCCAATGAAGAGTGGACCAGTGTTTCTGCATATTCCAAAATCAACAAATTAATGTTAACGAACCACAATAAAGAAATTATTGCCAAAATGTTTCCATACCATCTAAATCAAGTGCTAATGTGACAGTTTTTCTTTCAACTTCAGAAAGGTCAGGCAGATTTTTAACAAACATTTGTGGATCCAAACATTCAGCAGGATCCCATTCAGGATAATTATTGACTTCCATCTCTTGATTGCATGATCTCAGCTGATGAATTGCTAAATATAAGCTTGATTCTTCTGAAACCATGACAGGTTCTAAACTGTTTCTGCTGTCATCCTCCTCCTTGCAAGTGTCAATGCTGTCTTCAAGAAAAGGAAGTATCATGTAATCATCATCGAAAAATATGTTTGATTCATCACATCCATAATCAGGCAAACATGTAGCTTCTGTAATGCCATATGATGAAGAGCTCCTTTCAATGGGTGGGCTAGAAACAGACATGTCTGAGATGAAGAAATCTGAGACATTACAACTTTGATATTCACATGAGTTTCTATCTTCATCTCCTGATGATGCCACTTCAATGTCTTTTTCACTCCCTATATGGACACAAGAAAAAATACTTTTATGGATGACAATGACATTGCTATAACTGGGTAGATTTTTCAAAGTGTGATTTTATTTCTTACCTCCATTATTGGATGCAGTTGCTTCACTCTCATTGTGATTGGACTCTGGGTTAGGTGAAAAGATAGTTTCTATGGCTGAAGAGCAGTTAGCTTGTGTATGATCCTGCAATCAGTTACAACTGTCATATAACTAAATGTTGGTAGTTGTAAGGCTTTTTGAAGTAAGAGAAACTCAAATGGGAATCTTGAAGAATTATGATAAACAGCAGAAGAGACATGGATCTTTGTACATAACAAGGCAGAACTCATGTCAATGGGACAAAAAAATTGCAATTTTTGTCCAACCTAAAAAGGGGGGACATCAACTCGATATTTCCTTTGTAGAAAAGACGAGAATGCCCTTTCGTCCCCATTATCAAAAATAGAAAGCTTGTCCAATCCAGTGTAACAGATGCAGCCTATGTAACACAGTTTGGAGATAATTTTGGAACCTGAATACTTTCTTCTTCTAGATGTTCACAACAGTTAGTTTCATCGCTTCTAATTTCCTGCATAGTTGCTTCACCGCAGAAAGAATCTGCTGAAAAACAAAATGAGATCAAAGAAAACAAGATCATCAAAAAGATCGATGTTTTCAAGAGTAGAATTAACATAAACTTAGCATGTTTAGCTACTCAAGAAAATCAGATCACAAGAAAAAAAAAACAAACAACTGGGTGGATTTTTCAAACTATGGTGTTTTAATGAGAAATGAAAGTAGGATGCTATAATAAACAAATCAATGGAATTATGTTGTTGTTTCTTGCATCTAACCCTTAAAAAATTTAGTGTAACTGCTAAATTAGGTTATTACCATCGTGTTTGTTAGAAATACAAGTCTCAAGTTGAGCTTCTTGTTGGAAACTCCTGATATGTGATGAAGAGTTCTTGGAAATCTTGCTGGATTTTTGACATACATGGAGGCCATTCTTTTCTCTCAAACAGCCCATGGTTGACTTCATCTTCATCTGTAGTGATGGCATTTGTTCTGTACTTATGATGTGTATCACAATATTGACTCAAAAACATCAGTGGCCAAACAGAATACCTTCAAATGTCTGCAATTAACCAAAAGAAAAAGAAGTAATACATTAAGATATCATAGTATAATTAGGTTGTTCAATAGCAATCATGTAAAACAACCATAAAAATTAAAAGTTTTCTTCAGATAACATATTAATAATTCAACGATCTAACAAAGAAACAAATATGTTTCTTTGAAAAATATTTCCAATTCAGCCATGACCTTTATGCATCAAGAGATCAAGAGAAACACAAAACTATTTTGAAGAAACACGTTTTTGGATCAAAATATCTCCATACATCACTTTCACTTATAGATAAACCAGAAAAGAAAAAATTAAAGTGAGATCAACGCGTGTGTGTGTGTGTGTGGAATCAACCTTCACGCTCATGATCTAGTGCTATAGATTCCATAAAATCAATCACAAACCCTAATTTCAGTTTCAATTAAAGTCAATAAACAAAGTCCCACAAGCAATCAAATTCAATATATAAAAAATTCGAAACGGAAAGGTTTCGAACAAACAAGCTGAAAACTACAACAAGACATTAGCGACTGTTTGTCGCGTTTCGCGCTTCACCTTCATGATCCCGTGTTCATAAATTCAAACGAGTCAACTACGAATAACGATAATCCAACTCCAATTTCAACTAAACGACATTAAAATCAAAGTCAACACAGACGAGACTGATGAAAAAGACGATGATCGTAAGCGAATTCTTCATAACCGAAATACTAATTCCAGAAAAGAATCAAGAAAATACAACAAACCTTAATCAAGACGAAGCTCGTCGATGCAGTTGAGTCATGAAGTTGAAAAACATACATATATGTATAGATTTATGCATATATAATTCAATTAACAATCATATCCGTAGTGATCAAATATCAAATAATCAGAAACTGATTATTCATGTACAGTAAAGATTATGCGTTCTTGATTACCTTTGTATATCAAACCCCCAAACCCAAGTCCTCTTCTTTCTTTCTTTCTCTCTCTCTCTCTCTCTCTCTCCCTTTCTCTGTGATTGACGCGCTTTTATGCAGTCGCTCTCTCTTTATTCTCAAGACCCTTATACTTTGTGAAGGTTGCATACTTAGTCCCTTTACTAAATATCGTTTGTATGATTGTTATTAAATAATAAGTTATTTAACATTATAGTCGAGGGATTTGATGCAAGAGAACTAGTTTTGAAAATAACTATGAAAATTTGAAATTACCTAGATATTAAAAACTTTATTTAAATTATTTATCATTTTTATTCTTCAAGTACCATATCAAACTATAGGTGATGTTTGAAACTTGATTTGATACATATATAGATACAATGTGTACCTTAAATAATATTTGATGTGTGTATCTGTCTATATATTTATGTTATAATAGTAAATCTATATAAAAGATTTGTTTATTATTACAATACCTCAAATAAAAATAGAACCACAAAGTTAAGAAATATAAGTATTTATTATCATTAGAAGAAAATAACATCAATACAACAATGAATCTATAATCATTAACGTAGCATAAGTAGGTTAAACAATGAAATTAGACTATTATATCAATTTTGTTTATTCTAACTTTTTATCATCACTTAAATCTATACACAATCATTATCCTTCCAAGTATCCCAAACTTTATTTTGCTAAAAATACCTATGTTAAAATTATGATCCTTCGAATTTAATAATTAACTTGGATGATTATGTTTGATATATAGTTGATATAAATCTTGTATTATATGTAAGAATGCACTTGAAACTTTGATCGTGTTAACATAAGGTAGGCCTTTAAGTATATTTTAATATAATTGAGGTAATCGGGGATGGATCGGATATTAGGGACATAAAAGATATAAGAGAATGACTAATTTATATATTCGATTCATTATCATCCTTATTCACTATGTGATTATGTTTAATCTCACTACTTTCATATGAATCTTCAATGTACCATAATATAACGAAAATGAATTAGACTTAGGACTTCCATGCGCTTTTTGGATGAGAGTTAAAATTAGTTGAAGAGAAAAAGAATTTAACATAAAAAAACATGAGGTGTTATGCACTAAATAATTGTGTTGATACATGCTCTACAACATACATGCACATATAATAGATTCTTGTTGAAGACTACAAAACAAATGTAAAATATCAAAATAAAAGTATTTTTCATCTAAACATGAACAATTTATTTAAGTTTAAGCTCCATGATATAAATAACAACTTATTTAAAGTGAATATTCTTTAACTAATGTACGTGTAATTGTATGAACTAATTGTGTATTTGCATCATTGTCCTAGCTAAAAGCCAAAAGGATATACTTTAATATTTCGTGTACTAAAACAAATAAAATGATTGGTTTGGTTTACAACGATCAAAATAAGTTAAATGGGTCTAGGTGACAACTGATCAAACCAGAAGGGGTTGACAAAATGAAAATGCAAACATATAACTTATCGACCAGTAAAATGATTACACGTATACGTTGACGGCGGTACTTATCCACCCTCTCCTTTCAGCGCGTTGACTGTACTCTCCCAATACTGACCACAAGTTGACTAAAAGTCTCATTGGCAACACTAAAATCAACATTAATTAAAACAAATTAGTGAATGGAAATTTACATAAATTTTAATATATATATTTCGGTGTATGATTCATAATTTAAAAAAAAAATAGATAGTTTTTAGTTTATATTTTTTTAAACAAGGATTGAATGCAATATTTCAATGCAAAATTTTAACACTGAAGTTTCAATTTTAAAGGACAAAACCCTCTTTTAGAGGGAAAGAACGCCTTGCAAATTATGTTTCCCTCCAATTTCTACAAAAACTTGGCAATTATGTTTCCCTCCAATTTCTGAAAACCCTTGGTAATTATGTTTCCCTCCAAATTTTGAATTCCCAAAAAATTTCAAAACTAATAACACCCTCTAAAATGCGGGATTAATTCAGATATTAGATTTATGGATATATTTTGAAGGGTTTATGACAATATGCTTCATTTACCTCAAAATTACAAACAAAACCATAAACGTAAAATGTTGAGATCAAGTATGGAGAGTTCTCTCCAAAGACGAAGAACGCGGAGATTTTGTAGGGTGTGACGAGCCCCCATGGGAAGATCGATGGGGATTAGTTGGAGACGCGATGTTTATTGGTACACGTGGACCCACCGGTTGTTGTGTGTATTGATCAAAGCCCGTATTTGGTGGCATCATCCCTTGAACTTGACCCTGCATAAACAGCGCAATATACTTTCATTGATTTGTTTATTATAGCAAAAGCTAAAAGGTGAAACATTGTTGCATAAATAGTTTTATTTTTGAAGTTTTAATTAATTAAAATTTAAGAGATACACACACACACACACACCTGTTGATATTGTTGCATATTAATATATCCTTGTTGCTGTTGTTGTTGTTGATACATCTGATACCAATACTGTTGGTATTGTTCCTGCTGTTGATACAACTGATACTGCTGCTGAACATAAGCTTGTTGTTGTGGCAGCAGCCGCTGCGGCTCTGGCGGCATTACATAAGACTGTTGCATTTGCAGCCATTGTTGCTGATTATGATTCTGTTGGTATTGATATTGCCACATTTGATTGTAAGCTTGTGTGTTCTGACCACCAAGCTCCGGTGGTTCAGTATTTTGCATAGGATACTGAACCATCGGTTGAGCCGGTGGTTCAGGCTCAACCGGTTCAGTTCCCTTGTTTTCTTTTGTAGGGTTAGGGTTTTCAGTATTTTGTTGATGTGAGAAACCTTTTTCGGTTTCGTGGTGGTTGGTGGTGGTTCCGGTGACCGGAGAGGAGTTTTCACTGGCGGTTACAGGCGGTTGAGTATCCTCAAGGGCGGTGGGATTAGGTTCTTTCTCGGAAGAAACCGTCTTCTCAAGCATTTCAGCTTCATCGGTTGTGTTTTGATCCGATTTTTGTAATATTTGTAGGTCATTTGGTTTTGGTTCAGATATAACTTCATGTTCTTGATTTTTGGGGTTCTTATTAGGTGAAGGAGGGGCAAAATGGTCAATATTATGAACCACAGAGGGTTGTTTGTGTGAAGAGGTAGGTCTTCGTATTAGGCAAGGGAAAGATTTTATGTGACGATTCCATGCTTTTTTTATGTCATTTGTGGTCCCACAGTGGTCGACAAACTGTATAATTAGCAAACACATAAGACATGGTTAAGTTCTTATTTGTATAATGACATAAGATATTGATATAATTTAATAAATGTGATTTGGAGTAAAAGATTTTTAACCTTCAAATACAAATTTGACAAATCCTCACGATCTTTGGAACTTAAACTTTCTGATTCACAAGTTATAGTAGTCGCCATAATTCGGTCCATTTTTTTCAAATGTCTTGATCCTTCGTGTGTCATTGCAAAATTAATCAATTCCTGTAAATAAAAAGTTGCACCGAGTCAACCGGGTACCCGCCTTAGTACATCGAAGCCACTGTCATTTTGGTTTTTTTTTTAAGATGAGAGAGAGAAACATACTTCTAGAAGTAATCTGGAATGAGGCACTTGTTGGACACCTGCTATTAGTAAGTTCATTGCAGCATCTGCACTACTAGTGATCTACAAACAGGCAATAAATATGATAATCAAAAATCTTTTTAAACTGATATAACAATGCTTCATGGAGCATTTATTTCTTGAAATCATAATAATCAGTTATAAATAAATTTATATAAGTGTTGGAAATGCAATGCATACCAGGTATTTGAGGCGGAAAAAGTGAATATAAAGTATAGGGATAATATGCATCTTCTCCTTTTCTGCTGCCATTTTGAGTGATTTTTTATAAATGTCCAAAGCTGTATCCAAATTTCCCTGTTTATTATAAAATATAAACAGTCGGTTTTTTTTTGCTACAAATGCAAATAAAATAATAGTCATGATTGATGATTGATTGTGTTTACCAGACGTTTCTCCATATTAGCCTCTTTTATTGCAGTTTCAATGAAAGATGAATCAGATTCAGAAGTATCACAAAGTTGAAATGCAGCACGAGCTCCTTCAATATCTCCTATTTTCTCTCTATATCTTGCATTGAATATATGCACCTCTGATACATCCTGTATCACAAAGTTTTATACCTTGTAAACAAGTTTGGAAACATGTCAATGTGAAATATCAAAGAAATTAAAGAATTAAAGAGACATAAATTAAAAAACACACCTTTAAAAATACTCGTGTGGATCTTTCTAAAGCAAACTTTGCTATTTCTCTTCCCCCTTTGGATTCCATAAACTCCACATATCGCATCCAGAATTCAGGGTAATTAGCACATGGAATTAAGCATCTTTCGTACACCTTCACAGCCTGTATTAAGTAGATATTTCCTTTTAATTACTTTTATCTTATATTATTAAAACTCATGTATCCACCTTCATATTATTCTATTTCTATTTTCTACCATACCCAATCAAAATCCTCTTGCTTCTCAATGAAATCCAAATAATTATGCCAATTTTCCAGCTCTTCATCTTCAAGTGGCTCCACATGAAAAAAGTCCCTCTCCATGTAATTCTCAAAGTAATCTATTTCTTCGTGCAATTTGCATGATTTACGATAAAACCCCTCACCAATGGTGAGTAGTTTATTTAGGGCTTTAGACCTTTGCTCAACACTCGAGGAATGTTGCAGCTTTTTAATGGTATTCAAGATTTTATCATCTGATGTGGCGAATTCTATGGTTGAATCATCTGTGTAGGGTTCAAGGTTGCGACTTTTTGAGCATGACATGTCCTCTTCCACAAAAGCAGCAAATTCTTTAAAACTGAAAGATAGAAAAACAAACACAAGTTTAGAAAAAGGGTTGTTTTCCAGAAATACCCTTTACATAGTTATGATGAAGTGGTTGATAATGCAAACTTACTTGTCATAATATTTGTGTAAACTCTTTGTTGGGAATTTTAGAGCACGAATAAGAATGTGAGCAAGGAAAGTCCATTGCTGTTGAGATAACTCAAATCTGATGTACACATCCCATAATTTATGAGATAAGAAATCTTTTCCAACAAAAGAGAGCCCTCTTTCAAATATTCTGTGAAGTAGAAAAAGAAAAAAATGAAATTAAATGTTTTTAAATTTTGTGATAACTGAAATCACCATTCTATTCCTTCCCTAATTCCATTATACCAAACACTATTACACTACCTAACAGTTGCATTATCATTATCGAAGAATGCAGCATCAAATTTTTGGCCAATTATTTTTTAAAAAATGATTTTGAGTTTAGAATTTACCGACGAACATCATGTGGATCTTCAAAAGCAAGCATACTGAAGCTACAATAATCAACCCACAATCCAACAGAATATGTTGCAGATTCCACTGCACATTCAAAGATTTTAACAGCTTTTTCCATTGTAGAAAGCCTTGTCATGTGATCTGCATACCTCTTCCAATATTCATGACACAATGGGAACTGAGAGAGGAATGACTTATATACTGATGATATTGCTTTTATGTTGTCCTGAAGTAATTCCAAAGATTAATTGCAAGAAATAGCAGACATTCATATAAATGAATAAAATTAACTATGAACCATAAAGAAAGCTTAAAGTTACATGATAAACATTGGCTATGCACAATAGACAAAATAAGAAGCTTACCGAGTTGGTTTTCTCAATCTCTGAAATGAGTGAAGTCCAAGAATCAAAGTCCAATGAGTCACCATCAGCAATTTCATAATCTTCTTCAGGAGAACCAACTGCTGAACAATTAAGGCAATTACAGTCAAACTACACATGATAACTTGATCCATAAATAGGGTAGCTTGAATTATAATTATGATGAAAAGGGTTCAGAACATGTTATTTGCACAAAGAAAGGATGCTTGCAATCTGTAGCACAAAGATGAGAAAGATAGTGGAAAATAACTTTTCAGTCACGTTTATTAAAATTCAAAGTATTACAAAATACAAACAAAAAATAAATTCATGGGAGCAAATAGAACAAAGGGTTAAGCACTTAAATGCAAGAACTAGCAGTGTACTTTCATTGATTTGTTGATTATAACATCCCACTTTCATTAATTTCTGTTATTTTATAGAATCTACCATTTATAGCAATGACATCCTAACTTGGAAGATTTTTCAAGGTATAATGACTTAAAATTGAAAAAATAATAATAACTTGAAAGTACAATGCTATTATTGGGTAAAATTTTCAAAGTACAATGCCATAAGAAAAAATAATTTGGAGGTACAATGTTGTAATAGAAAGAAATATAATTAAGATGCTATAGAATACAAATAACTGAAAGTATGTTGCTATTCCTTGCATGTAGCCCTAGAACATTAGATGGGTATCTATGTTTTAGATCTTCAATGTTTGGATCATATAAACCACAAAAAAAGGGACATTGAGATAGAAGTTGCAATAATCAGTTTTGTGTTTTTGACAAAAGCTTATGCAGATTCTTATTTTCTAATTGCATAAGGTAAAAAAATCATCCTATTCATTTGTAATTGCTTGACAAAAACTGATTGTGAATTGTGATGCTGGTTTTCTTATTCCTTGGGGTCAGATTTGGAGAAAAATATTTCTATAAGAAAACTGATGATTGACATAAATGTATTTACTATAACCGTCTCCAATCAACTTTGAAGAACTCACTCTGAAAAAGAAAACATCCAAACGACCCTATAAATGTAAATCGGAAGTCGTAACAAACTCAAATTGCGAAAGTGAGTGTGTGAAATGCATCTAATTCTTCTTGATTTTAGAATAGACGTATCACAAAATACAAATTGATAAAGATTCAACATCAGCTAAACAACCCTAACGGTGTTTATAGTCACTGAACACAGATTGCCAGCGGCCATTGCTACTGTATCAGGGGTAGGGGTTTGAATCGTTTGAAGGCATTAATGAACAATACCTTCTCGATAGAAAGATACTTTACGGATACTCAAAAAATGTACAAATTCAAATTATTCTACAAGAAGCGCAGAACTCACCTTCAGGCACAGTTTCCATGGCGGAAAGACCATCGGCAGCGTCGGCCAATACCTGCAAGTCCATTTGAGTGAGATTTTACGGTGGTCGGAAGGGTATACGACGAGGAATAACTTCTCTTGTCAAAACTCACAACCCCATTTTAGGGAAAATGAGAGTGTAATTAACTTTTGGTTTTGTACTCATTTTGTGCTTTTTTTTTTTTATTTTTTTTTATTTAATATACCATCGAACTTGTTGTTTGCGTTCACCATAACCCTTTTGACCTGTGATAGCCGGTCAAAGGGTTATGGTGAACACAAACAACAAGTTCGACGGTATATTGAGTACAAAAAAAGGAAAAGAGACCAAATGAGAACGAACTCAACAGTTGGTTACCCTCCTGAATCATTTTCCCCGAAAAGTTAAATGAAATTAAAGTTGCAAAATTATCAAAGACTGCAACCTTCTTTGGCTATAACGTATATGAAGAGTGTTTCAAAGGGATAACCTCGTTAAAACATGGTCTATACTATGCTTACTGTGGTTAGCTGTCAACAACTCTCTGCAAAAGAATATGATTGTGTATGAGAGGTATATTTATCAGCATAAATGTTTACCTCAAGGTATATTATGGTGATGTGTTTACAAAAGCAACATGATATTGTACATATTGATGTTGTATCTTATCCCATGAATTCGATCTTAAAGCTAAGTAAACTCAAAAATCACAGCACTTGTGATTCCACTCGTTTGTAGACTTGTCTAGAATCCATGATACGATAAATCATTGGAAATGTAAATGTAGTCATGACATGCGCCTGCTTAGTCAAGATTCCCCTAATAAATATTCAAGTGCATTACAAAGTTGTACATGTATGAATAATGTTCTTTCGTGGGTTATGTTTTGAAGAGAAGCAAGAATGAATCTCATGAAGTCATTAATATCAGTAGGAGATGACGTGGGATTTGTTGTAAATGAGTAAAGGGAAAATGATTCAGGAGGGTAACCAACTGTTGAGTTCGTTCTCATTTGGTCCCTTTCCTTTTTTTTGTACTCAATATACCATCGAACTTGTTGTTTGTGTTCACCATAACCATTTGACCGGCTATCACAGGTCAAAAGTCGGTCAAAAGGGTTATGGTGAACGCAAACAACAAGTTCGATGGTATATTGAATACAAAAAAAAGGAAAGGGACCAAATGAGTACAAACGCAAAAGTTAATTACCCTCAAGAGTCATTTCCCCCCATTTTATCATTAATGCCTTAATGGATATATTTTCTACTCGAGTAAATTACACGATGGTCCTATGGTTTTCGTTTACGGTAATTTGTTTGGTTCCTAACTTATTCTTTTAACTCGGGAGGTCCTTACGGTTTGTTTTTGTTACACGTTTGGTTCCTATCTTACCTAAAAATACTATTTTACCCTTGATTTTTTAATTTATTCAAATAAACATACCGCCAACCCCACTCCCTCACCTTACCTTACCTACCCCACTATTTTTCAAATTTAAAATAATAGTCTTTTTAGGTAAGACAATGACCAATCGCATAACAAAAATGACCAAGCGTGTAACAAAACAAACAATAGGGACCTTCCGATTTAAAAAAAGATATGGACAAGCGCAAATTACCCCACACCATAGGGATCATTCGTGTAAATTACTCAAATATCTATTAGATCATTTGATTATTTTTTTTTTTTTGAGTTAAATATTTATTTTTAGACAAAACTTCATAAATGGTCATGTGGTATTCAGAGGTCTAAAGTTTAGTCCTTAAGTTTAAAAAACCTTACAAATTGTCCTTATGGTTTCAAAACTTTTAACAATTTGTCCTTTTGGCTAACTCCTTTAGTTTTTGGCCGACACTTGATTAAAATAAGACAAAATTTCATAAATGGTCCCTGTGGTTTCATAAAATATGAAGTTTCGTCCCTAACTTAAAAAAAACTCACAAATGGTCCCTGTGGTTTCAAAACTTTTGATGTTTGGTCCTTATGCCTAACTCCGTCAGCTTTCTACCGTTAAGTGAGGGGCATTTTCGTCATTTCAATACCCCAGGGACCATTTATGAGGTTTTCTCTTATTTTAAATAAAACAAAAAAATGAAATTTAATATGTAAGGGGTCTCTCTCTTTCTCTCTAATAACTGCATTTCCTACTCTTATTCCTAGTTGCCTTCTGATCTCTAAGATAAAAACCCATTTGTCGTATTTTAATTACCAATTTTCTTTGTCCATCATAACAACATATCTTGATCACTTAATAATATTTCTTGAAGAATTTGGTATGAAAAATCTGAAACTTAATCAAATGTGACAATAATGTTCTTAATATTTGTAATCAAAACAACTCTAGAGGTGATTCCAAGAACAATTAACTCGTCAATGGGAGCAAAAAAAAGACGAACTGAGACCTGTTGGGGCTTCAACACTACAAGAACCTCCATTAATGGTGGCAAGAAGGTCGGATTTCGGTGGCTTAGAAGAAACAATTATCTCACTTTTAGCCAATCATTTCCCTGTAAAATTCGACCCTTCATAGCTAATCTACCACTACGATGTCGACATATCCCCAAAACCTTAAAAGGATATTGCCCGATTGATCAAACAGAAACTCATCGAACAAAACCCCACCATTTTATCCGGTGTCAATCCTAGCTACAATAGCCGGAGAAAGCTTTTTAGCCCAAACGAGTTTCAAAAAGACAGGCTTGAACTCTTCATTAACATCCCAATTCCAATGGGTAATCCTTCGATTGCGCTAAATTGTGAAGACAATCAAGAAAAATCCAAGATTTTTAGGGTAAACATCAAGATTGTATTGAAACTCAACGACAAAGAATTAAGCAAATACTTGATTAAAGAACACAACGATTCAATCCCACTTCCACAAGACTAACTACAAGCTTTAGATGTTGCTCTTCGTGAAAACCCTTTGTCAGAATGCCTTCCCCTTCATTTTTGGTGCATGGATTTCGGTGAACCAAGAACACGACACACACATATACACGTTGTCTTCTTGATTAAACTCTTATTTAAGCTCCAATTCGGGTGACCCCAATTGAGTTGTGGGATGGTTTCAGCTTCGATTTGATTCAATGACATCATCTACTTCTTTGATTTCGTTAACCCCTAAACCTAGAAATGATATGAAAATACACAGATGAATTCGATTTCTGAAACCCATAAGCTTTTTTCATATTCATAAATGATTTTCCATTCTAGAAACAAACCCAGAAAATCAATTGTTCGTGTGTGTGCAGTTAAAGAGCAAACCCATATTCGATTAATCTTAACATATTGGTTGATTGGAATCGTGGTGATATATGGCAATGGTGGTGGTGTTCTTCCCTGATTCGAAATCCCTCATTCTTCCCTTAATCGACGGTGAAGCAAGGTGTATCAGAAGATATGGTGGTGGTGGTGTGGCTTTGATTTTGTTTTTGGTTGTGGTGGTTCTAATTGGGTTAGCAGTCGGAAGCGGTAAGGCTGGGGTAGCTGTCGGAAACGGAGGAGGTATATGGATGCCACTAAAATTGTGCGAGAATATGAATTTTTGGGTTAATCTTGTTTAACAAATTAAACAAAAATAGGGAGTTGGGGATGATGGTTTAAAGGTACCATTTGCAAGAAATATGGAACTGAATTAGAAAGTTAAGAAGCAGCTCCGTTGGAACTCAAAGTCGAACAATTATTCTTTTGTATTTATGTGTTTTCCTTTTCGTTGTAGGCTTATTAAAAGATAATGGTGGGGGTTTTCTTGACAAGAGAGAGATATAGAGAGAGACCCCTACATATTAAATTTCATTTTTTTAAATAAGAGAAAACCTCATAAATGGTCCATGAGGTATTGAAATGACGAAAATGCCCCTTACTTAACGGTAGAAAGCTGACAGAGTTAGGCATAAGGATCAAACATCAAAACTTTTAAAACCACAGGGATCATCTGTGAGGTTTTTTAAAGTTAGGGACGAAACTTCAAATTTTGTGAAACCATAAAGACCATTTATGAAGTTTTGTCTTAAAATAATACGAGGGCTTGTTCATTATTTCACTACCACATGGACCATTTATGAGGTTGTCTTATTTCAAAAAATAAAATAAATTGTTTAATAAACAACCCCCCCCCCTCTCTCTCTCTTTCTTCTCTCTATATATCTCTCTCTCTCTCTCTCTATATATATATATATATATATATATATATATATATATATATATATATATATCATATGATGCAGATGAAAAAGAACCCAACTCCTTCCTAGGTTCCAACATTCTCGTGTCTGCCCATAATGAACCACCGACACCATCCTCCACCTCTAAACAACCTCCACCACTCCAGATCCATTGTAGCTGTCCAATTCCTATGTTTCCCCCTCACGCCCCAACAACAATCATCGTACCATCATCGCATCTGCTTCTCCGACGACCATGTCTTCGTCGCATTGATTTCTCCCTAATCTGGCACACATACGTATTCGAAAATCCGTACTCTGTTATTGTTGATTTTTCTCAAGGTTTTGTTCATTTTCTTTCCAAAAACTTTTTGTAAGATTCTCTTGTTCAAAACGCATACACAATGCTCAAGAACAAACACACACTCATAAATCTAAAATTGTTTTCTGGAACTCAAAAGAAAACTCATAAATCTAATCTATAATCGATTTATGGATGTGTGTATGTGTAGGTTCCGTTTTGGGAAATCGATTTATGTGTGTTCATCCCTAAAAATCGATTTTGTATGTGTATGTTCTCATTTCTAAAACCGATATGTGTAAGTGTGTATGAATCTGAAATTGTTTCATCTGTCTCCCAACCCCTCGATCTTTTACATGCCAGTGGAAGTGGAGAACGAATGTGTTAGGTTGTGGCTACGGATTGCCAACAACATCGGCGGTGGCTCCTAAAAAACAGAATAATCAATTCTTAGTTTTTTCCGATGAACATCATACGAGTAGAAAATCTGGGAAATGTGTATTCTTAGTTTTAGTTGTATATTAAAACACACACACAAACACACTTCATGAGCATACACGACAGAATAAACCCAGAAGTCTAGGGGGAGAGAGAGAGAGAGAGAGAGAGAGAGAGTTTTTGTTTATTAAATAATTTATTTTATTTTTTAAAATAATACAACCTCATAAATGGTCCATGTGGTAGTGTGTGACATCCCCA